CCTCTTAACCACCTCACCATCTCTCAATAGAGTTGCTGTGAGGACCAAGACTTTTTTTTTAAACACATGGGCTTTTAGGGAACATTCAAGTTCAAAAGTATAACAGCCAGTTACTTAAACTTTCTGAGCAACAGTGTTTTCATTGATGAAAATAACAAATAATGCTACCTAGCACGTTGTTGAGAGAGGATTGAATAGATAATGCTAAGAAGGACCAGCCACATAGCAATAGCTCACACATATGGGGGCTAATTATTATATGTTGAGAACAGACCAAGATGTTGTTCTTATATTTAATCTAGTGAATATTATCTCCTCCTTCTTTATACAAAAAGACACTGAAGTGCAGTTAGGATTTGAACCCTGAGTTTTATTCTACCATGCTCTGCTGCTTCAAAAATATGTCCTCATGTGAAACAATTTGTTGTTATACCCTTAGGAGATCTCCACCCATTCCCTATATACTCTTTCACACTTCTCTATTTTTTTTGTCCTTGGACTTCAATTTATCTTAAGAAAGGGGAAATCCCCCCAGACATCACCAGGTCTCCAGGCAAAGATCCACTGATCATTTCTGCTGACCCAATCTGGTTGTGTTCCTGGACAGTGAGTTCCCTTTTCTCTTCTCCTTTACCCAATTCATTGTCCAAGCTGCATGGTGGAGGGCAGTACCCTTCCTACAGGGCAAGGGCTTGGGGGCCCAGTGAATGCAGACCTTTCTTTCCTACGCTCCCCAACTTAGATAGGAGGAGTTATAGTGAGGCAGCCTTTAATTCTCATTAGCTCCATTTGGAGTCCCGTTGGAGCACGTTATGTCTGCGGATGTACAGAGGTTAAGTTTCCCTTCTCCTCTGGGTACTTCCTTATTTCTCTTTCCATTCCTATTCTTTGCTGCTCGCCATTGTGGTTTAAACTGTCAAAAGGTGGGGTGCAGACAAAGGTGTTGCCAATGATGGAGCAGAGCTTTCTTCCCCCATGATGCCATCAGAAAGGGCACAGCAACAACACTTGCTTTGTGTAAAATTCCTTTCTGTGCTTGAGCCCTTAGCACCTTGTGCGAGGGGTAACATGGAAGGGATGACAGCGGCCACCGAGACCAAAGCTTATAAGTCACTTTCTGGGTCAGAATTTTTGTGACTAATGATTCATATGTATCTGTCACTTCTGCTTTGGATAATTTCTCATTTTATCTAAGAAATGTTAGCCTACGACAGGAAGACTGCTTATTTCTCCCTGGCCTCAAATCATTGTCCTTTAGAATGGTGAGTTATTTATAACTGTGCCCCCTCTGTGATATTCTGTCTGCCATACTAGCAGAAGACTCAAAGGCCACTTCATCTGTGTGCATGTGCAGGTCCACCAGCCTAAGGGTGGTTCTGTCTCATCCAGAGACACTACCTGAACATTTTCAAGAAACCCAATTCCATAGATTTCCACCACCCAGCATCCATTCATAATACCATGTTGTAGTAAAATAGGAAACTTTTACTTCTTAGTGATATGAAGGCTTGGTGGAGGAAGCTTAGGCAGAGAGATTGTCCTGGATTCCTGTGATATAATCCAGCCATACACATTAACATAGACCTATACTCTATAACAGGTTAGGCCAAAATGGAAGGAAATCAGGATGTGGGTGATTTAAAGTTGAAAGTTGATCTAAAGTAGAAAGGACAGCCAGTAGAATAGAGTTGGTCGCATTCATTCCAGGAGAAAAGAGGAGAAGGAAAAGGATCTATTTCTTCCTTCCAAACTCTTCCATTTCCAGATCATTGGCTGGAACTTAAACTCATGAATACAACCAACTGTAATGGAGGCTGGGAAACTGGGAGATGCAATTTTTATTCCAGATAGTCATATGCTTAGCTCAATATTGAAGGTTTTTCCCTGTCAAAGAGGGATTGGGGTGGGTATTGGCCCATAACTATAACTAAGTAAAAGTGGAGACGCATAGTCCAATGATCCAGTGGCAAAGCTGTGCCATAAATCAAGGATTCTAATCAGTCCAATTCTATGTACTCGACGTCCTTTAGTTGCCTGTGTAACGATATTGCATGATGTGTTTGCATGTCAACAGCAGACACAGATAGCACTTTCTATTTGTATAGATGCCCAACTTTTTTTGTGGTGTTGGGAATCAAACTCAGGGCTTTGCACATGTTAAGCATGTGCCCTACCACTGAGCCACACCTCCTCATCCAAATTCCAATTTTTGAAGTGCTTTTACACAATCGTAACTGCTCTTTCTTAAGCAGCTCATTAGAGACAGCTGAGAGCTTGGCATTACTCAAATAGGACTTGCAGGGCAGATGTTACTATTTGTATTTTTAAAATAAGAAAGAAGGAACAGAGGGGTGAGAGACTTTGGTGAGGTCACCTAGCTAGCCAGAACTGGCAAAGAATTTAAGACTCTGAACCTTATGCCTAGCACATCTTTCTTTGGCTCATTGATTCCTCCGTTATTCCTCTACCAGGCATTTGTACTGTTACATCCAGGCGCACAGTGGTTCTGTGTGGTGTTCATGTGTGTGTGCTCTGGATGCGGTGTATGCAATCTTCACATACAGTGTATGTATCCTCTGGCTCCTTGTGTAGCTCCTGGGCCCATTCCACTCTGTAACCCCAGGAAGAATCTCCAGCTGGGTTTCAGTTGCCCCATTTTGCCTAGGTTCTTTGCTTAGACACTTCCCCAGAAACCCAGCTAGATAGAAAGGCAGTTTTGATGTCAGAGACAGTTCCCTAGGTAGTGGATACAAAGCAGAGGAGCATGCTAGCAATGCCTGAGTAATGGTGATGTTTAATATTTCATGAAAACAGCTCATGGTTCATGAAGGGGTCTCATGAATACTACCTCATCTGATTCTTGCTTTAGCCTGAAAGCAGATTTTATTATTCTAGTTCTTTCCAAATACACAGAGAGGTCAAGTGGTTTGCTTGCTCAGGGTAACTCACTTGGAGACTTGGATTCTGCTCATTTGTCTCTGGAAGGATCTAGAAGGGGATTTCTTCCTCCTCCTTAACCCTGTGCTCATTGATTATCTTTGTGCTTCTAGGAGCGGACAGCAATACTACAGACCCGGTGAGGTGACGGTGTTTTCCATTCCCTGAGGCCGTAGGTAGTGTCTTTGTCTTCGAAGAGTCAGGGGAATCCCAGAGCAACCGAATGGCCTCTATCTTCTTCTCTTGCCCAGAGGAAGTGAATCCCACTGCCTTCCGCTCCCAGGCCTGTGCTGCCCGCACTTCTGACCACTCGAACCTGTCTGTCTTCTCCACAGATTAACGGGGTCCACCACCTCGGGGCTCAGCATGACACCTTCTACACAGTCAGCACTAAGTAAGTGCCGCTTGAAAATAGCAAATACTCTTATCAGGAGAGCCCTCTCCGCACCTGAAATGGACACCCTCCTGCCATTCCTGCCTCTCTGCGGGCACAAGCTTCTTCTGGTAAGCGGAAGGAGACAGGAGACACTAGCCGTGTGCCTGGGTCACCTGGGCATGTCCCCAAGGAGCCCTTTCTCAGGACGCTGTCTTTGGAGTTTTGTTGGGACCTGTGTGGTCACAGGTCAAACCTCATTCTCTAATAATTTGGCTGTATCTGTAACTAAGCTAGGTTTTGTCGTCTCCCGTTTTGTCTTACGTCTCAAATGCTCCGCTAGTTGGAGAGCAGAGGAGGCCAGCCGGAATGTATTTAATGCCGCCTGAGATCCCTGTCTGACCTGATCTATGCCTCTGCCGTGTTGGGCTAGACCTTGGTACTGTATCTTCTTCAGAGACACCAGCCTAATCCGGACTAGAACTGAGCTTCTTTAACTCACCCGCTCCTCCTCAGACTGCACGGTCAGGGTCCAGTATGTCCACACTGGGAGCTCGGCTGTTCTCCCTGGCGGCCCCTGTACCATGCCATCTCTAGGGACTTTGTTCAGAACCCAAGAAAAGGCCTAGCTCTCCCAGGGACAGGTGCCAGTATCGTCACGGTGGCACAGCAAGTCACTGGGACGTGGGTGGGGATGGAGGCAGCCTCTTAATGCATCCTGTCCCCACCCGGGGTCCTTCTGAGTTTATTTACTTAAAAATATATTCAGGGGACCTAATTACTAAAATATCCATGTAACAAGCCTTTACTAGAACAGCCAGAAGTTCTGGAGAAGAGACCCATAGGAGTCACAGGACAATGCCAAGGTCACACTTCACGTTCGCCCGGCCCCCCGCTCGGGTCCGTGGCCCGGACTCTCCGCTGCTGGGCTCCTCGCGTCCGTTCCCTTGTCCCTCGCCTCCCAAGCGACGCCCCTCTCCCAGCTCGCGGCTGCTAAGATCCACGCAACTGGGCGGCAGCAGGCTTTCCAGCTGAATTACTCAGTAACTTTCGACGCCTCCTTCTGCCCTCTGCGCGGCCCTAGAGAAGGACCAGGATTTCTCCGTGCCGTCGCCCGGACCCGGGTCCCAAGCCCTCGGCGCCCAGTCCTCCCAGACGCGCCGGGCCCCTCCTCGCGTCCTCCCCTTTAAGGGCCGCCCCGCGCGCACCGCCCCAGGCCCCGCCCCGTGACCCTCCCCTTTAAGGACC